GGAGTTGGCTTCTTATTGTGATAAGAATAAATGGTAGTATCATCAGCGAACAATGCCACCTTAGATGTGAGAATATCTGGAAGATCGTGACTGTAAATTAAAAAGAGTATAGGGACAAGGATTGAACCTTTAGGAACCCCTGAGGTAACAGAATAAGAATAAGTGCTGTCCATCAAAGACAACTTTAATACTACAATTGGAAAGAAAGGATTCAATAATCTTAAAGATGTTTCCAGATATACCGTAAGAAGAAAGCTTATAGAGAAGACCAATGCGCAATAAAACCTATCTGTTATTACTGTTAGCAAATCAGCTGTAGAACGAGAAGATCAAAATCCATATTGATGATCAGAAAGATTCAAAAACCTTGCTTATGATAGGAAGAAGACTAATGGGACGGTAGTTAGACAAATCAAGTTGCTCTTCAGAATTTTTAAAAATAAGGATAACAGATGCTGCTTTCCAGCAGGCTGGAAAACAAGACTCTGATAAGCACTTGTTGAATAGTTTTGAAATGATAGACGACAGCTCCGGAGAACACTTCTGCAAGACTATAACAGGTATGCTGTCTGGGCCGCAAGCTGTAGAAGAGTTTAAGCAGGAAATCACTTTAGATACAGTAGTTGAAGTTATATGGATGTTGAGCAATGGATCAATCTGTTTAACAGCTATTTCAGGTAGAACGCAACTAGTGGAGTCAAGAGATGATATCGATGAAAAGTTCTTAGCAAACAAATCAGCTTTGTCAGAAGTAAATAAGAAGTCAAAGATTCTCTTTGTTCAATTAAAGGGGACAATGGCACTATTACAACAGATATAAACATAATTTGCTATACCTTTAATAACTATTTTCAGTCTGTCTTTGAAACTGAATCTGAAGGCAGTATTTCAACATTTCACAATTCTACTCAAGTAACATGCAAAATTAATGAAAATTGGTTCACAATAAAAGATCTTAAAAATCATCTAAGTAATAAATAAAATAATAAAGTAATAAACTAAATTAATTGGTGTAGAAGGAATCCATCCACATGTATTACTTAAATGCACAGCAGCATTTGCAATACTACTCAACTTTATTTTTAGACTATTTTTATTATCTAACTCTGCCTGACTATTGGAAAAAATCAAGTATTACTCCCATCATTAAGAAAGGAAGCAAGCTTAAGGCTTACAATTATTGACCAATCTCCCTCACCTTAGTACTGTGCAAAGTAATGGAAAGAATAATTCACAAACATGTTATGGCGCATTGCACGGAAAACAATCTAATCTCCAGGCATCAACATGGTTTTCTTTGTAAAAAGGGATGTCCGACTAACCTCCTCAAACTGGAAATATACTTACTGAGGCTATGCACCAAGATTACAGTGCTGATAGTATCTACACAGATTTTGATAAGGCATTCGATTAAGTCCCACAAAAAAGTCTCCTACATAAACTTATTCACAACGAGCGGTTACTTTGGATTGAAATGCGGCTAAAAGATTGTAAGCAATGTGTTGTTTTTCTAAGTTTCATGTTTATAAGTGGAAAAATATCATAAGTGGAGTTCCTCAAGGTTCTGTCTTAGGGCCACTTTGTTTATAAATGATCTTCCTGATAGTATCGTTCACAAGATAATGTTATACACTGATGACAGCAAAGTTATAACGATCATAAAGTTGGCATCATACATCACAATACTTCAGGTAGACATTGATAACGTGGTTACATAATCAAATACTTTGCTCATGTACTTTAACATTGATAAGTGTAAAACGATGCATACAGGTTGTCCTAAGAAATGTTTATCATAAGAGTACTCTATGGAAACTGCTGATGGCATGCGCTACACAATTGTAACAACAACTATTGAATGTGACCTTGGAATTCTCATCTCAAATGACTTGAAAGTCAGAGTGCAAATTGAAAAAGCATCAACCAATTGGGTGAGGTGTACAACCTGTACAGCCATAACAAACCATCAATTCATAAGAGGATGAGAGGAGAGGTAAAAGGAAAGGTAAAAGGAGAGATCAAACTTTTTCACAAACAGAGTTGCGGTCTATTGGAGCTCTATCACACAGCATACTGTAAACGCTCCTACTTTAAATGCATTTGAAGATTGGATTTCAATGTGATAAATCAGTATAGAGACTCTTGGGAAAGTCACTTCATCAAATTAATAATTGATTATTTAAAGATCAAATAGTTTGCTGCCGGGGGCTTCAGTACATACATCGACTGACAAATAGCCTGACTTGCAGTGGAGTGCTGCTACATCGACTGAGGGTTTGGTATGGGTCAGCAACCTTTTCATTCATTATTCTTCGTTTTCCCTCATCGTTTTCTAAAAACGCTCACTTAATTTAGGCTAGCAAAAAAAGCGAGCCATTGCGCATATAAATATGCTATAGTAGATATATATATATATATATATATATATATATATATATATATATATATATATATATATATATATATATATATATATATATGTATGTATGTGTATATGTATATATATATACACACACACATATATATATATATATATATATATATATATATATATATATATATATATATATAAATATATATATATATGTATATATATTTGATGTAGAGATTAGCAGTCGAGGTCTTTTTAGTGACAAAATAAGAGGACTGCATACCACAGCTACAAATTGCTTGCAACACAAGGAACTTGGATGCAAATTTTTCTTGTCGAATATATTTAAATTGATCATCGACAGGTTTATCTTTGTTTTCATAGTAAAACTGTTGACCAGGAAGTTGTGAAAAATCCACCCTGCAATATGTTTCATCATCTTCAATTATGCACATATTTTTATCCGCCATTATTTTAACCAACTTCTTTGTGCGTCGAATTCCTTTAATTTCACGCTTTAAGTTTCTCTTAGGTGTATTTTTTATATGAAATGCTGTAATTCCAGCATTTTTAAGTACTTTTTTGATATAAGAACGAGAAGTCGTGAATTTTCTTGCTAGATCTTGCTGTGACTTGTTTGGATTTCTTGCTATTGAACGTAAAATCGACTTTACCTTTTTGGATTTATGGAAAGTTTATTTCTTCCACTTCCAAGTTTTCTTTTGAAGCTTTGAGTAGTCTTGAACTTGTTTCAAGAAATAAACTTTCCATAAATCCAAAAAGGTAAAGTCGATTTTACGTTCAATAGCAAGAAATCCAAACAAGTCACAGCAAGATCTAGCAAGAAAATTCACGACTTCTCGTTCTTATATCAATAGTTTATAATATCTATGACTGTAGATTTTGGGACATTTTTGCGTTTAGCAATCAAGCAATTGAAGTGGATGGATTTTTGAAAAAAACATTTCACAATTTTTTCACGCACCTCAATTTGTTTCCAAAACATTTTGTAAATCATTAGTTTGTAAACAAAAATTTATCAACACCATTTAAGATACGGAAGTAAAGTTTAAGTAAAAAAAAAAATTAAATAAAAAGCATTTGTGGTTTTAGAGAAATCTCAATTTAAAGTTGACCGGATTTATATATATATATATATATATATATATATATATATATATATATATATATATATATATATATATATATATATATATATATATATATATATATATATATATATTTATATATATATATATATATATATCAGGTTATTTGTCATATATATATATATATATATATATATATATATATATATATATATATATCAGGTTATTTGTCATATATATATATATATATATATATATATATATATATATATATATACATATATATATATATATATATATATATATATATATATATATATATATATATATATATATATATATATATATATATATATATCTATATGTATATATATATATATATATATATATATATATATATATATCTATATATATATATATATATATATATATATATATATATATATATATATATATATATATATATATATATATATATATATATATATATATATATATATATATATATATATATATATATATATATATATATATATATATATATATATATATATATATATATAGTCTTGCATGGTAGTCAGAAAGTTTTTCACATAAACTGTTGTTTTAAAGAGTGCGTTAATAAGCCTGACCAGAAAATGTTAAAAAACTTCAAAAAAATTTTTTTTTTTTAAATGATAGCCCAAACCAAAACCTCAGTCGATGTAGCAGCAATCCCTTGCCAGTCAGGCGATTTGTTAGTCGATGTAGGAGCACTCCCTTGCGAGTCAGGCTATTTGTCAGTTGATGTAGCAGCACTCCCTTGCGAGTCAGGTTATTTGTCAGTCAATGTAGCAGCACTCCGTTGCGAGTCAGGCTATAAGATTGTCGATGTAGCAACACTCTCTTGTAGCAGCAGGCTATAAGATAGTTAGTGTAGCCACACTTACGCATGTTTTAAAAATGTTTTTTAATAAAACAAAAACAAAAACACCACTAATTAAAAAAAACTTTCTAGTCATTATTATTGTGGTTTTTTTAAAAAACAATAAAATTTAATGTACTTCTGCATTAATTTAATTGCTTTGACGTTTTGACGACAATAAAATGCAGCTTAAGAGACAAGGTAAAAAAAATGTAGTCAAAAGAGACTTTTTTGGCCATAAAAATCTCTTTTGATTACACTATAAGGATATATATATATATATATATATATATATATATATATATATATATATATATATATATATATATATATATATATATATATATATATTTATATATATATATATATATATGAATATATATATAAATATAAATATATATATATATATATATATATATATATATATATATATATATATATATATATATATATATATATATATATATATATATATATATATATATATTGTTAAATTGTACAATATTATGTTTTTACTCAGTAACATAAGCAATTGAAGATATATAACTTCAATTATCAGAGAATATTAGGTTATGTATTGAATTATTTATTGTAAAAATTTAAATATTATATTCAGGGAAAGTTCTATTATTGCACCGATGAAATTATAAACAATGAAGATGAATGCAAGTATAAAGTTTATTTTTATTTAAATTTTGTTAATTTTTTATTAGATTTAGTATTGTTATTAGATCTTATAAATTTATTAAATAACATTATAATTGTTTATTAGGATGTGTTATATTAATTATTTTTCATACTAACATTGTTTATATTGATTTTTTATTTTATTGCATCATCATTTTTTTTTTATTAGAGGACTTTATTTCAAATATGATACTAATTCATATAAAGATATAGAGATGTTTCCAAAGGTAAGTTATTAAAAAAAAATTTTTTTTTAGTTAAGTGGTTTGAAAGTATTCAATTCAGTTGCAAGCAAGAAGAGTCTTCATTTTAATAACAAAAAAATATTTGTAACAAAAAAGTTTAACAATGACACATTTAATAACAATTGTTAATCTTATTTTTTAAAAAATACTTTCTCACTTTTTTTTTCACAAATAGTTTATAACAATTATTAATTTATTTTTTTTTTAGATAATTTTTTGCTCTTAAATTAGAATCAAGTTTTTTTTCATTAAAATAATTAAAATTAAACTTGTTTATAAAAAAATGTTTGAAGAATTGAAAAAATCGGAAGAAAATTAAAAGAAGAAAAGATTGAAGACAAAACAGAATTATTTTACAATACCCCTGGCAATATTTAGTGCATGCGTTATGCACAGATTGTTAACTTAGTTCGTGAAATGGATAAAATTTTTGTTCATTTCATAAATCCGATGATAACATTTGTTTGAATTGTTTGCGCATTTCATAAAATACTGAACAATAATACTGCTCATTTCATGAAATACATCTTTTGGTTTTTGTTTTTTTTTTATGATTAAATTAAATTTTTTTTTTTGAAAATAAGGATATACATAAACAAATAAAATTAGATAAAGAAATAGAATTGTTTATTTACTCAATTGAGAGTTTTGTAATACCAGAACAATTAAAGTTAATTTTTTGTTTTAAAATTTTATGTAAATCATACAAAAAAATCATGTTTATTGAAAAGTTTTTTTGAACTATCAGGTGAATCAAAGAGGATGGAACAAATTTTGACCAGTTCTATAATTTTTTATTTATTTTAAAGCTATTAGGCAAAAGAATTTTGAAACTAATAGAACGAAGTCTGGCAACATATACTTTATGATATTGCTTACGAAATAATGAAATTAGGCACTTGTTACTTAATTTGGGGAATATTTACTATCCATTTCTGAAAAGTTGGACTTTTTTCACTTATTTACTAGTGTACATAAGCATACTAAAGAACCTTTACTTTCCATGTTATACTTATCGTAACATCATTAAGGTTAACTTGCATTTAGCACAAAATGTTGCATAAACTGTTTTGTGGTTTAAAGGATTTTTTTTGTCACCTTAGATGCGAGATATTTTGGGAGATTGTTAATGTAAATTAAGAAATGCATAGGGCCAAGGATAAACCCCTGAAGTTACAGGAAACAAAGAAGAGTGCTGTCCATTAAGGACTTTATACTACAATTGGTAAGGAAGGATTCAATAACCTTAAAGATGTTACCTGATGCACTGTAAGAAGTAAACTTTTGGAGAAGATAAGCCAGCATGCTAAACTTTATCAAAGGCTTTAAAAATGTCGAGAGCAATAGCCTTAACTTCTCCATATCTATTTATCTGCACAATAAAATCTATCAGTTATAATGGTTAACAAATTAGCAATAGAATGAGAAGATAGAAATTCATATAGATAATCAGAAAGTAAGTTATTAGATTCAATATGAAAGATTAGGTGTTTGTTAGTTAAAGACTCAAAAACCTTGCTTATGATAGGAAGAAGATTAATGGGAAAGTGGTTAAATGAATTATTGCTGTCCAGAATTTTTGAGAATAGGAATATTAGATGTCTCTTTCCAGCAGGCTGGAAAACAAGACTCTGATAAGCACTTGTTAAATAGTTTTGAAAGTATAGACGACAGGAATGAATTATAGAAACTATATAGAAAACTATAGAAAAATATAGAAACAGGAAAAATTCAGAGAACACTTCTGCAAAACTATAACAGTTATGCTTTTGTGACTACATGCTGTAGAAAATTCTAGGCAGGAAATCACATTAGATACAAAAGCTGGAGTGATATTAATGTCAAGCAAGAGATTGTTGGGAGGTAACACACCAAAATTACGATCAAGAACACTATCCATGGGCAACATGGCACTGTTAATACTCTGATACTTATATGCTGTTGATGAAATCAGACTCTCTGAGAGCTACCACAGAGCTCAAGAAACCTGACTACCATCTGGCTTCAGAACCATAAAATTGAGTCTTTGAGCAGTACCCTCATTTTGAGATAATAAATGAGTTATCTAGTCATAAAAACAGATACATAAGCAAACCCATGCATTGAGTCAAGAAGATCCAGCATTCAACATTTTAAACTGGAAACAATGAATTAACAATGCATCTATGCCAGCCTAATAGATGAAGTAGAGGTGCGAAGCTGGTCAACATACAGTATCTGTTTACCTCTTAAGTCTTTGCCTAGAAGACCTTCTACTGTAGCTGAATACATTTAATGTCTACCCACAATAAGTATTTTTATTAAGACACTATCTCTAGCCTTTTATTCAACCAAATTTTCCACAAAAAATAGCATATCCTACAAAGTAGTAGAACAACGAGTCCTTCTGTTATTACAAAATTTAGAATATTAACTTTGTAGTAACATGGAGCATAAGCTCTTCATAGTATCATGGAGAATAATTTTTACTGAGATTGTTCCTTTCAAATACTTTATTTGGTTGAATTAGTTAAGTTTTAAACCTGCAAGAAACTTTATTGTAGAGAATTTTTTTTTTTTTTTTTAATTTTGTTTACTAGAAGAAACAACATGCATTACTATAAAGAAAAATAAGTCCAACAATATTTAATTTGTATTTTTTTATAAGAAATGTGGTTACTAATACAATTACTGATAATTGCTGACTCTAGCTAAGATTTATTTTTGTTTATTACATAATATTTATTTTACTTTTTAACATGGATAATAATTCAATAATGACATGGAATATAAATGATTTAATAAGAAAATGTGTATTTTATTTTTTATTTTGCACAAATTTGTTAGTTTTTTATTTAAACTTTATCTATTTTGTGTCTTTATTATATAGAAAACAAAAATAATGCTCAATTGGCGCAGAGTTGTTTGTTTTACACAACGCTTGTAGAATAATTTGATAAACATTTAGTGTAATGATCTTCATTTACAGTTACTGGAATTTTTACATTTGAGCTATGAAGTTAAATCATTTGTTTAGTTTATAATTTCTTCCATTAAAAAAATTAACATTTAGCTTATCTACCTTTTGCTATATTGTCAAAATCCTTATTAAGAATTAAGAATTTTTTTTTTTTGCACTCTTAAAATTACTTTTTATCAGCAAATGTTATCATCAAAGGCAAAATTAATTTTTTTATGCAATGTTTGGTTTTGTCAAACATTTGTAGCACCCTTAATGTTTGCCATCATTTATATAAAATGCTTGAGAACATTATTTATAGAAAATAACAGACATAATTGATACGCACCTCCTTTTTTTTGTTTGATAAAAAAATTTTTAATGAGTGTTTTTTGTTTAAGGAAGAACCTAGAAATTGGGAAAATGCAAAATTTCATTTTGACAATGTCTTGAATGCTTTAGTAACTCTTTTTGTGTGTTCTACAGAAGATAACTGGCCGGCGTAAATTTTTTTGTATTTTAGTTTAATGTCTTTTTTTTTTTGTGTGCGTGTTATTAATTTTAAAGTCCCTTCACATTTTTCAACACTAAAAAAATGTTTGTTTTTTTAGAAAGATGTATAAGGCAATGGATATACCTAAAGAAAACGTAGGGCATTTGGTTAAGAGTTATTCTTTTGCAGGAATTTATTTTATTGTTTTTATGGTGATATTTACTTTCTTGATAATCAACATATTTGTTGCATTAATTATTCTGACGTTTCAAAAACAAGGTGAAATAGAGATCCAAGGTGGTCTTGACCAAAATCAAGTAGGTAAATTCATTTTTTTGTGTTTAAAAATGCAACAAATTAAAAAGTTTTGTTAATATTAAATTATGAATATATTAAAATATCTTTAATATCAAATGTCGTTTAATTTGAAAGATGTGTTTGTTACAAATGTTAAAGTAATTTAATATGAAAGATGTGTCCATAAAAAATGTAAAGTAATTTAACATGAAAGATAAAAGTTAAAGTAATTTAATATGAAGTAAGATGTGTCCATAACAATTGTAAAGTAATTTAACATGAAAGATAAAAGTTAAAATAATTTAATATGAAGTAAGATGTGTCCATAACAATTGTAAAGTAATTTAACATGAAAGATAAAAGTTAAAGTAATTTAATATGAAAGATGTGTCCATAACAATTGTAAAGTAATTTAACATGAAAGATAAAAGTTAAAGTAATTTAATATGAAGTAAGATGTGTCCATAACAATTGTAAAGTAATTTAACATGAAAGATAAAAGTTAAAGTAATTTAATATGAAGTAAGATGTGTCCATAACAATTGTAAAGTAATTTAACATGAAAGATAAAAGTTAAAGTAATTTAATATGAAGTAAGATGTGTCCATAACAATTGTAAAGTAATTTAACATGAAAGATAAAAGTTAAAGTAATTTAATATGAAGTAAGATGTGTCCATAACAATTGTAAAGTAATTTAACATGAAAGATAAAAGTTAAAGTAATTTAATATGAAGTAAGATGTGTCCATAACAATTGTAAAGTAATTTAACATGAAAGATAAAAGTTAAAGTAATTTAACATGGAAGATGTGTCCATAACAATTGTAAAGTAATTTAACATGAAAGATGTGTCCATAACAATTGTAAAGTAATTTAACATGGAAGATGTATCCAAAACAAATGTTTGATTTTGATCCCATAGTTAAATAGAAAAATCACACTTCTTATACCAGTTAATAATTTCTATTATGGTTGACTGAAGGTATGAGATAGACTAAAGGTGTGAGGTGTACTAAAGATATGAGGTGGAATCTTCAATATGCACAATCTTAAGCATCTTTTTTTCTGATGCTTTGTAATGGCTGCTTTTAATGCTGTCTATTTAAGTTTTTCTGCTTCTACTTGTATCTTTTTTATTAAAACTGTAAACTCTCTGTCCATCTACACCCAAAAAAAGATATATGAAAAATATAGTTCTTTTTTATTTTATTTTAATCATTGTGAGAGTATAAAAAAAAATTTAAGAATATTTAAGGGTTACAAAAAAAAACTTTGAAACCTGTAAATTTATAACTCAATTAAAACTTATTTTAATTGAATTATGAATTTAATATTGAAAATTTTAACTAAGTTATGTTAAAATATATTATTACTATTTTTGATACTTGATTAAGGAATCTAGAAGAAGTTAAGTTAGCTCCTCCCACATTAATTTTACTCTTTTTCAGTTTACTGAAAGAAGATTGAGAAGAAATAATAATGAAATCAGCATAGCATACTTTTATTTAATTATTAACTTTTATCATTTTAAAATGATACTGTTTTCTTTTTCCTCACTTACTTTTTATGTACACATGGTTAAACAAGTTCAAATCCTGTATCACCTTCTCTTTGATAGATTTGTCAATCAGTTCTTTAACTAGTTTAATAGTACTTTCTGATGAATTACTGGTCACATATAGGAGTTCAATAATACATTTAAACTCAAGATAAAAAAAAGTAAACCATTTAAGCCGCTGGAACACATTATTTCCATATCCAATTTTTTAAAAGATGAAATAAAGTTGCTCAGTTAGACAAACAATAAAGCTACTCACTAGACAACAGTCAAATGGAAGAATTGAGTCGAATCTTATGCAAAGTCTAGAGAGTAAAGAAGCTCATAATCAACCATAACATATTTAAGTGGATACACTTTTTGTTTGACAAGAAATATACAATTTTGCATTATCTTTTCTGTTTAGACTTTTCATCTAAGAAGGCATGCACAACTAAAGAAAAACAAGGCAAACAATATTTGAACTCCTTTTGAACTTTTTTTATCAACTTTATATAAAACCATCTGCTTAAATTGTACCCGGGTTAAAAAAGACTACTTGCTAAGTTGTACTGTTTCTTTGAGAAGTGAAGCAGAAAAAAAAATTTTTGTGCAAGTCAATGAATCAAACATCAATTTTGGATTTTTTCTTTTTATTGTAATATATTATATGCCAAAATATATTTCACATAAGATTATATAGTTATACAATATATACATACATACATTATTTTATATAGAAGAACATTTAATAAAATCTCGATAAGTCAGACATTTTTCAAAAATCTAACATATGGAGAGCTTCGCTTAATTGAAATATTTGCTTTACCAACTGTGTTTTTCTGTTGGTTTTATTGCTGAATTTTTTTACTCCAAAGAATTGTATACTCATGAACTTATTTATCTCACAATTAGTTAATCATTTTTAGGGTGCTTTTCTTGTTTATTGATAAAATTTTAAACCTGATGTTGTTAATAGTGCTATAAGATAGCACTCAGTGTAAAAGATACAGAAAAACATTGCAACACAAATCTTTTTAAAAGAGATTTTGTTACCATTTTATTTAAAAAAAGATAAAAGAAGTTAACTCTGACTTTTAGATGAGTTAAAGTTAAATCTAGTGTTGATGTCTCATTGAGATTATTCATCATGGTCAGGTGCATATATGTCATATAATTGCATATATGTCATATATATTGACAGTTGTCAAGACAAAAATAAAGATTAATATATATATATATATATATATATATATATATATATATATATATATATATATATATATATATATATATATATATATATATATATATATATATATATATATATATATATATATATATATATATATATATATATATATATATATTATATATATATATATATATATATATATATATATATATATATATATATATATATAATATATATATATATATATATATATATATATATATATATATAATCGCTCTCCAGAATTTTTAAAAATAGGGATAACAGATGCTGCTTTCCGGCAGGCTGGAAAACAAGACTCTGATAAGCACTTGTTAAAGTTTCTTTAAACTTTACTCAGTCAAAATTTGAGCTAATTTTTACTTGTTAAAAATTGAGCTTAAAAATTGAAATTTTTACTTGTTAAAATTTGAGCTCAATTTTACTAGTTAAAAATTGAGCTAAATTTTACTTGTTTTTTTGTAAATTTGAGCTAAATTTTGTAAATTTGATAATACTTGTAATATATATGTAATAATACTTGTATTTTTAAATTTGATAATACTTGTAATTATAAATGTAATAATACTTAATTTAAAGTAAATTTGAGCTAAATTTTACTTGTTAAAAATTGAGCTTAAAAAATGAAAAATTTTACATGTCAAAAATTGAGCTAAATTTTACTTGTTAAACTTAGTTTTGAAAGGATAGACGACAGCTCTGGAGAACACTTCTGTAAGACTATAACAAGTATGTTGTCCGGGCCGCGAGCTGTAGAAAAGTCTAAGCAGGAAATCACTTTAGATACAGAAGCTGGAGTGATATGGATGTCGAGCACTTGATGAGTCATTTACCCTTCATCTTCTAGGATAAACTCTTACTTCTGATCTTTCTTGGAAACCTTATATTAAAACCGTTGCAAAATTAGCATCTGCTAAAGTTGCTTCTCTTTATCGAGCTCGTCACTTTCTTACTCTGGATTCTATTCTCTATCTCTATAAATCTCAAATCTGGCCTTGTATGGAATACTGTTGCCATATCTGGGGCGGATCTTCTAATGATGCCTTTTCTCTTTTAGACAAGGTGCAAAAACACATTGTAAACATAGTTGGACCTGCTCTTGCAGCCAACCTTCAACCTCTGTCACACCGTCGTAATGTTGCTTCTCTTTTTCTTTTTTACAAATACTATAATGGGCACTGCTCTAAAGAGCTAGCGTTTCTTGTGCCATCTATTAAAATTCATTCGCGTGTTACTCGTCATTCAATTAAGTCTCATCCTTTTTCTGTTACTGTTCTTAAGTGGTGCAAAAACTCTTATTCGTCTAGTTTTTTTCCTCGAATATCAGTTCTTTGTTTTTCGCTTCCTTCATCTTGCTTTCCTGATTCATATAACTTGCAATCTTTTAAGTCGTCTGTCAATCATTATCTTGCTTTACAATCTTAATCTTTTCTCCCCCAGTAACTTCCAACACTAATTAGTGGTTGCTTGCAGCCTTGTTGGAAGCGAAGATGTTAAAATATATACATTTCTATGGATTACATAAATATATACAAATATATGAATTTCTTGGACTTTTAAAAAAAAAAGTTTTTTCAAATAAATTCTCATTTGTAAAAATTCCAGATAATGAGCTCCAGATAATGAGCTCCAGATAATGAACTTATTATCTTCAGATAATGAGTTCATTATCTCCAGATAATGAGTTAATTATCTGGAGTTTTTATAAATGAGAAAATTTGTGAAAAACAAGATGGTATTTTCATTTTCTTTATGAATTACATTCTAATTAAGTTAATTAAATGTTATGCTTGGATAATTGTCTCAAAATGGTTGCTAAATTTAAAAAAAATATCTGCTTATTAGGATATTCCTAATACTGTAAAATATTTCAGTATTTCAGCGGTCTTGTGTCATATGGAGTCTCTATATTTGCCCAGATTCTAAAGATCTGAAGGTAAAGATAAAGACTCCAAACTCTATATCACTAAATATGATGTATACATGTAACATGCCAAGTTGAGAATGTTTTTTCTTTCTACATGTAAATGGTTTTTTTCATTGTTTTTAACATTTAAAAAATATTGAATAAATTTTATAAATACTTTAAATTTTCAAGATATCATCTATGTTTATGCACTTTTAGAGAGGGGAAGACTTTTAGAGAGACTTAGACTTGAAAAATACATTCTTTTATAAATGGGAAAAATGGGGGAGGAGGGGGTTGACTATTAAATTATTTTGTGATTTTAAAGAGCTTAATCTTAAAAACCAGATTAAAAATTATTTAAAAACTTTGGCATATAAAATTCGCCGAATGGTCACACACAAGCAGTGAATGTCTGAGGGAAGAAATGAAGTACATTAGAATAAAGGAGAATATTTATTAGAAAAAGCATATTTTGACAGTTGTCAAGACAAAAATAAAGATTAATAGAGGAATATTTAAAAATAAATAAGACAGGCTATACAACCAAAACAGTACTCAACCAGATTAAAAATTGATCCGAATCGAATTCCATCTTGATCTAAATGTGGTGAATAAACATTTTAGAAAAATTCAGTTCAGAGAGCTGCATTCAAATATAACACATTAAGGTGAGCTAGTTCAAGATTGTTTTAAAATTTGCTCCCCAATGTAAAGTTTTGATAAATAATATATACAAAATTTTTTAAATTTTGTATATTTTATTTTTATAATTATTTATAATCCCAAAAAATAGTCTCTAAAATTCAGTTTAATTTTCATAAAACTAAATTAAAATTATTTGTTTGTTTAATTTTAAAATACTCATTTCAATCTAAAAAAAAACTAATGTAATCAAATAAATTGTTATTGTTTTTTAGAACTTTATTATAAGTATTATGCCTATCACCTTGTTGTATGAATTAATTCATTATGAGTATTTTTCCTTTCTCTTTGTTGTATGAAGTAATTCATAATGAGTATTATGCCTCTCTCCTTGTTTTATGAAGTAATTCATTATGAGTGTTATGCCTTTTTCATTGTTGTATGAAGTAATTCATTGAGTATTATGCCTTTCTCCTTGTTGAATGAAGTAATTCATTGAGTATTATGCCTTTCTCCTTGTTGTATGAAGTAATTTATTGAGTGTTATGCCTTTCTCCTTGTTGTATGAAGTAATTCATTGAGTATTATGCCTTTCTCCTTGTTGTATGAAGTAATTCATTGAGTATTATGCCTTTCTCCTTGTTATATGAAGTAATTCTCCTTATTGTATTAGTGTTAAATAAACAGTGCTATTTTGCTAAATTTAGTCTAAAAAAAGTAAATGTTAAGAACTTTCTAAAATAAACCAAGAGCTTTGTTCTATGAGGACCAAAGCAAATTCTATAGTATTTTTTTTTTAATAATTATCATGAAAACATTGTTGACGTATAAGAATGAACATCAAAGTTATTGTTATCCTTTGAGCAAGCTCGAAGCTATTTTTGTTATCCTTTGAGCAAGCTCGAAGCTATTGTTCTTTGAGCAAGCACACAAATAAAATAAAAAATAAAAGCTAATAACTTTGATAACAAATTTTAAATAATGTTTAGTAATTATTATCTTTTATTTTTATATAGATTTGCTCAGAGTTATTTCATTCTTATTAGTTTTTCATTTGCAAAGATTTTGGTTTAATTTCTGGTAAATCTGCATTAGTTACAAAAAACACTGCATAGCATCTTATATAGATTTGCTTAAAGTTATTTCATTCTTACTAGTTTTTTTTGAATGTTGACTTTTATCAAAAGCAAAAAGTTTCCAATTTTTTTTTGTCAATCTGTATAAATCAATATAGATTTTTTGAAAGGAGTTTTTTCTGAAAAAATTTTCTGAAAACTTAGCAAATTGTATAAATTTATCTGAATTAAACACTTGATATTGAAAACATCAATATATAACAATAGATTAAAATAATAACTTATTAATTTTTAATTGATAAAGTATATTTATGTATATTCTTCTTTTAATTTTAGATTATATTTATTATCTTATTTTGTTTTCCTATTTTATACCACTCAAATTAGATCTCAAATTAAAATATATAATGGTTCTTACAAAAAATTAATTAACAAATTAAAAGCATAAATTCAAATTAGTGTTATTAAATTTCGGATTTCCGCACATTTTTTATGTCTATTGTTTAAATATCATTTTGAAATACATTTAAAATTATAACATTTAGCTTTTCTTTATTGTTTTCAGTTATCTCTCTTGTTTACAGTTATTTTATATATTACTATAATTATTATATATTATATGTTACTTCAATGTTTTTTTAATGACAAAATGTGAAAAGGTTGGTTTATTAATGCAAAATATTTATATTTGAATAATTACTGCGAGCTTTAGAATAAAAAGTAGTTGAAATTACAATCAGAGTTTTTGAATTTACTTTTCAAATGACTTTAACAAAATGTTGTCATCAAAATGTTTATAATAAAATGTTTTCAATATCTCACCATTTAAATAGATTTTTTCAGTAAGTTAAAGAGTTTCATAATTTATTTTGAAAAGTTTTTTTAATGGGCAGGAAATTATATGACTTCTCATCGTTTACAAAATATTCAACTCAAAATATTTATCTAAAATACTTACAAAACACGTTTCAATAAAATTATATGTTAGTAAATTTTCTTTGTTAAATCTGCATCTATTTTCTACATCTGTTACTGTTTTCTATATCTGTCTCTATTTACTAAATCTGTCCCTTTTTTCTGAATCTGTCACTATTTTCTATATCTGTCACTTTTTTCTAAATCTGTCAATACTTTGAGTTTTTCAGTTTAAGTTTGCTTTCTTTTAACTAAAGGTTCTTTTCTAAAATTTATTGGGTTTCTGAAGTTTATTGGCTTATCTGAAGTTCTCTGGCAAACTTCAGACGCTTAGCAACATGCTTAGCAACATTATTCTTTGAAATAATTGATTTTTTCATTGCTACACAAAATACAAAGCCACATAATTTAGCTTTATTTCATCTTGATTTGATTTTGGTATTGCCTTCTCTTGAAATATGGAATATTTCAAGAGAAGGAGATAATTTGCAATATTAATGATATTGTGCAAAGGTTCATTGGATTATCTTAGCTGATAAACTATTTGTTGCAGGTGTGGCGTTAAAAGCAACTTTTGTCATTCTAATTTAAGTATCTAATTATATCATACATTCTGATTAAAAAAACTTATTTAGAATTAATTTTTTAAGTTTATAATAAAAAAATGTTATCACAATTCTGTTTGTATTCAAATATGTCTTACATAGATTAGTTTGAATATAAAAACCAACTAGAAATTGTTTTTGTAAAGTTTCTGACTTGTCTGTAAAAACTCTATTAAATTAAAAATAATAATAAATAACCTTCCCACTTCAAATGTTACAGTATAACTAGCAAAAGTGTTTTGTGTTATGATAATTTGTAGCATTTATAACAACTCAGCATGTTTGCACTACATAAGTGGGCTACAGGGTAGCCCACTTATGTAGTGCAAACATACACACTTATCATACTTTTATGTATTGTTAACTTACTTTACAGTGCAATTTATTATATATATATACAGCCCTTGGAATTATAAAATGGTGTCAATGATAGTATGCCAACCTTAAACTTTTAGAAGTTGGCATCAGATTGGCAAAATAAATTTAAAACTATGGGGTTACCATAAAACATTGAAACAAGGTCAGCAGTTTTTAGCCAATCTCTAACACTTTTAGGTAGGCAGTTAGATTGGCATTTCCGAATACTGACACAAACTCTGAGGGCTATATATATATATATATATATATATATATATATATATATATATATATATATATATATATATATATATATATATATATATATATATATATATATATATATATATATATATATATATATATATATATATATATATATATATATATATATATATATATATATATATATATTGCTTAATTTGATATCATATAAATATATATTTTTTAAATTTGAAAATTTAGCATGCTTGTTTGGAATATGTCCTAAACAGTGAACCTTGCAAATCTTTTATGCCATTAAATGAATCAAGTATATCTTTTCGGATGTGGCATTTTGTTAAATCCTATCATTTTGATAACTTAATGATGTTAATAACTTTGATTAACATGTTACTGCTTATGTTAAGGGTAAAATATTATTTGTTTGTTTTTATATTTATATATTTTTAATGAACTTAGGCCCTATGAAAAAGGGTTACAGTTGGTGTGTCGTAACAGGGCCCATAAGAGTTTATAGTCTTTTTAATAATATATTAGGAGACCTCCTAATAAATTCTAATACTCCTAAAACCCCTAAAAAACCTTAAATCTCTTAAAAGACCTAAATCCTCCTAGAATATACTTGAATTTCAAAAAAACTCCTGAAATCTCTTGATTTAAACTTGTTTTATGATCTTTAAATTTTCTTTTAAACATTCAACTTAAACTTTCAAATTTTTTTATTAAATTTTTTTGAATATTGTTTAATTTTTGAAAAAAAAATTTAAAATCCTCTTAAACAATCCGAACTTTTTTATTCATTTTTACAAGTTTCTTGGTAAAATTTCCTAAAAAATCCATAAAAAATATCTTAAATATACACTAATTTTTTAACTCAAAAAAATGTGGCTACCCTGTAGTATTACTGATTATTATTATCTGTGTTATTTTTGTCTAATTAGTTTCGTGTTCTGGTGTAATTTTTTTTTGATTTGAAATACATCGGTTTTATAAAAGCAATGTAGTCATAAGTTACAAAAAGAAAAAAAGAATACACATCACAATTATAGAACTTTTCATTGGTTAATTATTGCCTAATCAAAAAAAAAAGCAAATTGCTAAAAAAGCAATGTTAAGCAGATTTAATTAAAAAAAACCTTTAAAAACAAAGGAATCTAAAATGAATTAAACAAATATTAAGTTTTACTTTTTTCTTTAGTCTATATATTTCTTTAGCATACTTTAATATCATTCTAGATTTTAAATAGTTTTTTTAACAATGATTTTGCAATTTCAAATTATTTCATTTTTAAATTTTTTAATTGTTTTGTTTTTTCAATCAGTTACTTTTTTTTTGTTTGTTTTAAGTTTTTAATCCTGTTGCAACTGTAATGGATTAATGCAAAATTTAAAAATCATTAGAAATTTTAAATATTAGTTTATATTTTCAGAAGTTTATCAATTTAATATTTTTAAAATTCTGTGTAAAAGGAGATCTAAATACATAAAGCAGTCAAAAAGAAAAGAAATAAAGATAGGAGTTAATAATAATAAAAAAAGGAATACAGACACTTTTTCAATTGGGTATGAAAAAACAACGATATGAATTAGGAACAAATATGAATACAAAAGAAAAGTTAAAATGAAATTTATAATAATCTATTTAATAATACTGAACTTAATTGTAGTGCGCTTTAGAGCCTGTTTGACACGGTACCCTTGGCAGCCATTGCAACCAAGGTAATGACAAGAAAGAGTTGTTTTATAAGCTTTGTTTTATAAGAAGCTTTGTTTTATAAGAAAACCTGAATAAATGTGTATGCAATTATCTAACCTATGTAAACTTTAAGTTAAGTAATGTTAAAACAATGTAGAACATACTGAAGCAATTATCAAGTTTTACAGTTTGGTTTTCATTTAAAAATTGCATTGCGTCAAGCTCTCCTTAATTTTGATCTTTAACATTTTTTTCGTTAAAAAAGTTATTATATAGTTTTTAAAATGCCGAGCTTCTAAACAAGTAAGCCGTGGTTTAATTCCTACAATTGGCAAATTTTTTTTTTTTATAATTTTTTTCAATTATTTAGAAATACAAAATACTTTCAAAGTTTTATAGAGATTATATGCAAACATTAATACATAATATTATATGCTTTAACAAAATGATTTTTATAAAAGCTAAAAAATCTAAAAACATTTAAAAATATATATACACTTTTACTAACAAAAAGATTTTTAAAACCAGGAAAAAAATGTGTTGCATATGTGTCAAGATTAAGATAATTATTAATGTGCTCAGATTATTAGTTCTAATAAGCTGCGGATATTCTGAAAAAAAAATTGTCTTAAATTTAATAAAGAAAAAACTTAATAAAACAGTCCTGCTACTCCAAAAGGTGCTGCTGTGGAGGCAAAAAAAAAAAAAAAAGCCTGTAGCTACAAAAAAACTGTAAAAGTTTCTTTAGAACATCAAAAGTTTTTTTTACCTACATTTATATTTTTACTATAAATATGTTGCAGCCGTTTTTCAAAACGCCTTAATATGCTTATTACGCATTTCAAGAAAAATGCAATTTAAAAAAAATTGTAAGGAAAAGTTATTTGTTTATATATACTGTTTATAAAATGTAAAAATCCACTTATATAACGTTTTATCCAGGGTTGTATGTAATATAAGTAAACTTTTCTAATAATTACAAGTCTTTTTTGCTCAAGCTGTTATGTTTTGATTTTTTGTAGGTATGTTATTATATTTTAAAAAATTGACAAGATTGAAAAAGCACAAAACATATTGTCTCATCCAAGTAGAAAATTTAAAACTTCAATTTTAGATTTGCCCCTCTCTTGATAATTTCTGATTGCAAAAATTATGTTATCTGATTCTTAGACCATTAAAAATAATAGTCGAGGCTTTTTTGTAAACCGTTGAAGCTACAATTTTTTTGCATATGTGACATCACTTGTGGAAAAAAACTAGAAAAACAGTTTTATTTAAATTAAAAAAAAAAACTTCTTCTATTAAAGATATACAGAATATATTTTTATGGGATATATACTAATAAAGACAAAAATATTTATTTATTACTATTGTGATGAATACAATATCTTATCCATGAAATAATATATATGTACCAGTTTTATATATTTTTATACATTTGTAGGCAACATAGTTAAAATTAATCAAAAAATGTAAGATAAATGTCAAAAAAACTTGACGCATAAAATTTTTTTCATTCAACTTTTAGATTAGCTTTTAATATTATTAACAGTTTAACAGTTTGTAAACATAATCATAAGAATAAACTTTTTTTTTATGACTATGTTTTAGTGGTCTAAGATCTTCTTAGTTCCATTTGCATAGCGTTATGTACAAATGCCTGTACGTGTAAGCGTCTTTAGCGTATGTTGTATTTGTAGGCATTATATAAAATAATATATTTATAAAATGTGAAAACTTTATAACTTTATTTTAAATTTTAGAAATCTTTTTTGCTATATTATTATTTTTTGCTATAAATATATAAGCAAGATTTAAAAAATTTTAAAATTTATTACACAAAGAAGAGGTCTTAAACCCCCCAAAATAACACTGATACAGCCCACTTAACAACTGAGCTATCAATGAAATGCATTTAGCAGAAAAACCAATCTAATTATAAGTCTCTTATAAGCTCTGTGTATGCGGAAAAGGTGCGTATGTTACTTTTTTTTGCTTTTAAAGTTTTTTTTCAGAACAAAATTATTTTACTAAAAGGTAAGGAATATAAGGAATAGGTATAGAAATAGTCATTGTGGAATAGGTATGTAGAGAAACGGTAGGTTTGGTATAGACCCGAATCTGGAAAGCTAGGATATATATAGAAAAAGGTTTCGAATAGACAAGTATTGTGCTCCTTGTTTATGCTTAAATCACATTTTTTATACTCATGAAAGTTTACTAATTTAATATCTACCTGTCTCTTATCGCTCAGCAACTTATTAAGATTGTGAACTTCACCACTAAACTGATTTATTTTGTGGTTAGTTTCATAATTAAAGCATTGTATGCAAAATTTAAGTCTTTTTTGTCTTAGTTGCTATTTTTTTACTTTTACAACCTTGTCATTTCTAATACCAAAGTAATAATTTGCCATGTCAATCAGGGTTGGCAAAAAAACCAACCCAAAAAAACCCAACCCAAAAAAACCCACCTTAAAAAAGCCTAAAAAAACCAAAATATATTTGGGTTTTTTTTAAAAATATCCTACTCTATAACTGATAACTCTGATTTTAACACTTTTAATGCTCTATTATCAGCAAGTGCAACTTTTATGCTGTAATTACTCTTGTAAACACTGTATTTATATACAAAATGGTATTTAGAATGTATCCAAATTAATATTATTGAAATATGTATTTAAACATTAAATTAGTTAAATACTTATAAAGGAAATAAAAATTATTTTATTAACTAAATTTTAATGTACAAGACATTACTAGTTATTTAGTATCTTTATTCTCCTCTCGAATGTCTATATTTTCAAACAAGTGTTCTATAGATGTCACTTTGTATTGGTATTTGATCATTTATTTTTTAAAGCTTATGTTGTAAAACGTGAATTTCAGTACAAAGCCACAAGCAAAATACTATATATAAAAACTGTTAAACTTTATTCACAGTCTAGAAATGGAAAGTTGTCAGACAAAAAAAAAATGCTACAGTTTACTAGGCTTGTCCTTATTAAGTGCATACAACTTTAAAACATAAAAAAAAATTGTGTTATGTGCAAGGAAGTTTCATTCAATGAGAGAACATGTTGAAAACTTGTATACAGTTTACAAGGACAAGATTTGTTGGTAAAAATGATACTCATGCTCAGGTTTTCAGGTTTTGAATATTTTGCATCAGCTACAAGTTTAAAACACGTACCGTCAACAGGGATCATTATGAACAGCGGGTTGAAAATGAACATCAGTACCAAGTTTGCTAAAATGTGAAGAAACACATGCAATAGAGCTATATATTGTGTTACTTTCAGTTGCAAAACTGAGCTGGTAAAAAATCTTTAAGTAAAAAAAAAGAATCTGGTGGTGAAGACACTGTAATGGTTATTAACAAATTCATTTTAGATATTTCAAGAACAATCAAAGCTTATACACAAACTCATTTGCAAAACAAATCTCCCCATAATCTAAAAAATAAAATATTATAAAGTGTCAATATCATCCCAAATTGGCTAATCATTATTCTCTAATCTTAAACATTTGGATATAATTGCTAAATTATTTTATGTAATTTTGTATAAAGAAATATTTTAAATATTGGTTACATTATTTAAGTTCTAAATATCCATGTTAGATTAGCTGAACTTTCTCTTTCTGATCATTCTTACAAAGATTGTCGATTGATGATGGAAGCCCAAAAACTTGGCTTACCGATCGAAGCTAAT